AATTCATAGAATAGTTGGTAAAATTATAAATTGTATTTATTGTTGTTGCTGTTGTGTGCAATTGCAGGATGGAGATGTTTTGTTTGTCTTATGTGGCTGTGAGATGATATACAAAAATATTTTGTATTTTTTGTTTGTTTTTGCTTTTCAATCAATTGTACACTATACAAAATAAAAAAATAACTTAAATATATATGTATTGACAACTTACAGTTATTTACTAATTAGAGTATGTATATAGATTTGTGTTTAAACTTAAAATTAAATTATACTAAGGATATTTGTTTCAATTATGGATGTAGAGAGGAGAGCCTTAATGATTCCAGTCAAAACAGAAATCAAGAAAATAATAATAATAAGAAAATATTTGTAGTTTGTTGTGTAGGTATTGTTGATTCACTTCTTGTTTGGTTTTCTTGCAATTGTTAAATCCTATATACCTCATACATACATATTTACGTATGTGTATATATATATTGCTATTGATAGAGTTCACATACGATATAAAATTAAACTATTTATTATAATTTATATGTCTATGGATTTCCGTGCTATTTATTAGTGAGCTTTTTATCTATTTCTATAGTTATTGGTTATTTTGTTGGATGCCATAAAAAAGTGGATGATGTTTGTTGTTTGGTTCGTTCTATTTCATTAACTTGGAATTGAAATATAGATGGATGCTTATAACCTGCAATAAAAAAAGAAAAGTTATTACCTTTATACATGAGGGAAATAAATGCATTAACTAGAAATAAAAAGCCGAAAGGCTCACAGACTAAAACTTATATAAAAGTTAGTTTACTCTCCAAGATTATAAAGAGAAAAAATATTCCATTTTGGGATATTGGCAATATAAAGGGAACCTTTAAACTTCTTTACGAAGAATATATGTGTTTAATTTAATTTATGAGATGTCGAAGCAAAATGAATTATATTATACAGTTATCTTCTTAATTACGCTTTCGACAGTAACCTAGATAACGCCAAAATATTTAATTTAATATTAAAACTTAAATAATTCTTGATATTTATTTGAATTTTGCCTGTAAGAGCAATGATCATTTGAATGAGTTCATGTCTTCACTCTAAAAACAGCCATTTTTTTTTTTTTTTGCAATCAGTTGCGATACACATTATCTTATACTAATTGGAAATTTGAAAATGACTTAGATTCGTGTGTTTCATATTTCTATTACGTGTTGAATAATGCGTTATCAATGTCAGTCCCGGTTCTGAAAATTAGTTTAGACCGAGGGCCAGCATGGTTTACTCCTTATCTTAGACGTTTACGTAACGTTAAGAGTAGATTATTTAAAAAGTTTAAAAAATACAATACACTGTTAAATTATACTAATTATTCTAAAGCTAGACATAAATACAATGCAGAGAATTTAAAATGCTATTCAAATCATCTGACCAAAATGAGACGAAACCTTCTGTTAAATCCTAAAAGCTTCTATACATTTGTTAATTCTAAAAGAAAAGTTAGAGAATTTCCCAGTAGTATGAAGTATGGTAGCAAAGATTCTGGTGATACCGCTGAAATTGAAAACTTGTGCTTATGAACTATCAGCCTTATTCTGGATATTTGCTAGGGAGATATCTCGCTTGTAAAAAATTTTCGCTTTCACATTCTCGCCTTATTCTGAATGAATGGGGAGATGCAAAAAATGCGAGATGCAGATTCGAGTTTTCGAAAATGGTGGTTGAAAAAAAGATTCGTGTTGCCATATTGTAATTTAAGTTGCAATGTGTGTTGCCCCATTGTAATTTAATTGTGTAACATTTTTCAATATATTATTTATTGATTTTTGTTATTAAAAATTGTTACTTTTTATTGTTATTTACACTATATAGCAATACAAATGTGAAATATCAAGAATCCGCTGTATAAATGCTTTGTAATTAAAAGAAAATAAATTAAAGTTTGAAAATATGGCAACCTACAATATGGCATGTGAAACAGCTGTTCATTGTTTTGATGCAATTTGGTGCAACAACTACAACAAGATTATAAATAAAAGAACATTTTTATGATGACAAAAACACAACGAATAATGGAAAGAAATCTGCGATTGAATTAATTAATTCAGTTTATTATTTCACTACATAATTGTGTGCCTTTTTATTTAATTTCGATATTTATTTCCCCAGATTCTTAAAGTGGCATGTTATGTTATGATTACGATAATTTAAAAAAAAATATTTTTTGTTCTTTCATAATTTTTATTTAAGTTTTTCACTGTTAAGCGGTTTTGGTTTTTCCATAATTTTTAATTTTTTTTTTTTTGAGAGACCCTCACCCAAAATGTCTGTATTTCGCCTCCAAACTACATCAAACTCGACTTAAATATTCCGTATTACCTTCATATATTCCTTGGCAATACTTGGTTCAGCAGGCATCGTTATCAATAGGATTTTCAATGGCATTTTATTGGTTGTTTTCCAGTTAAAAGTGTGCTTACTACCATTTATAATATTTTAAATCGTCATACAATAAGTATTGTGTAAATATTTTTCATAAAAATAGTAATTACTTATGTCTTTGTAGTCAACTCCCCTTAAATTTATTAGCGAAAAATTTCGCACAAAATTTCCTACTCCCTGTAATCCAGAATACCTAATTTTTCCCCAAAGCGGATTTTTTCGCTTTCGAACTTCATTCAGAATAAGGCGAAAGCGAGAATGCGAAAAAATTCACACAAAAATGTTGTTCAGAATAAGACGAAGGAAAAGACCGAGTAAATTCACGTGGAATTGACATCCAGAATAAGGCTGTATATAAGCCCATCACTGCTATTTTTAATCTTTCGCTATCTACAGGATATTTTCCTCTGTTCTGGAGATCTAGCTTCATTATCCCCTTACATAAGTCTGGTAGCAGAAATGTTATTGAGAATTATAGGGGTATTGCAAAATTAAGCGCCATTCCAAAACTTTTCGAACTTCTAGTATCACGTAGAATAATTCACTTCGTTTCGCCAATAATTTCACCTTGTCAACATGGTTTCATAAAAGGGAGATCGACTTTAACTAATCTGATGGAATTAACATACCATGCACACCATGGATTTTCTACAAAGCAACAAACAGATGTAATTTACACTGATTTTAGTAAAGCGTTTGATACGGTGTTACATAAACTTTTATTATTTAAATTGGACGCCATGGGTTTTCCATTCAAAATTTTTTCCTGGATTTCATCCTACTTGCAAAACCGTACTCAAAGCGTGTCTTATAATGATATTTTCTCTAAAAATATTGATGTTCATTCTGGAGTCCCTCAAGGTAGCCATTTAGGTCCATTATTATTCGTGTTATACCTTAATGATCTTCCATCAGTGATTCAATTTTCTAAAGTGTTGATGTTTGCTGATGATGTAAAACTTTTCAGAAATTTAGACTCACAAAATCAAGCCCTTACTCTACAAAATGATTTGAACTCTCTTGAATACTGGTGTAGTATTAACGGCATAAATATTAAAAAATGTAAAAAATTATGCCTATCTAAATGTCGTTCAATTCCTACTGATTATTTTATAGGATCTTACAAATTAGACAATGTTGACTCCTTTGTTGATCTTGGCGTTATCTTAGATGATAAATTGCGATTTAATTTGCATATTGAGTCATGCGTAAATAAAGCCAAATCTTTACTAGGATTCATAAAACGATGGTCTAAAGAGTTTGACGACCCTTATGTGACAAAACGTTTATTTGTTAGTCTAGTTCGGCCTACATTAGAATATGGATGTGAATTGTGGAGTCCGTTTTACAGTTGTTATTCTAAAAAAATCGAATCTGTCCAAACACAATTCCTGTTATTTGCTCTTAGAGGTTTGCCTTGGAGTACAGTTGAAGCACTCCCCCCTTATGAAAATCGTTTAAAACTTATTAATCTTCCAACACTAGAACGAAGACGTTTAATGCTAAGATCTATATTTTTAATAAAACTTTTACGCGGTCAAATTGACTCGAAATTTTTAATCGGTGAAATCAAGTTTAGCGTACCTGCACGTCTTACTCGTAATTATATACCGCTTTATCTTCAGATTTTTGTAGTAGCGATGGTTAATAAATCCATACACCTTTAATTGCTTACATGGTATACACATGGTGGCCTAAAACGCAAAGTGGTCTGGCAACATTTGTATTGCTCTGGGGACCAAGGTTCGAATCCTAGCTGTGCCCAGCTTGTTTGAATTTTGCCTGTAAGTGCGATGATCATTTGAATGGTTTTTAATTGAGTTTTTTCTCATTCGAGTCGAGCCTAATGATCGAAGTTTTGCAATGAAAAGGAAAGCCATAATGGTGGATGCATAGGTTCTTCTCCTGACTTCCCTTTTCATTGCATTAGTTTGTAAAGAATTAGAAACTAAGGCATCTCCTTGGTGGTAAGGGTAGTAAGATACCTACTTACAATTGGTTTTTTATTTGTTACAAATGATTGGTCAAACGTTTCTACCATTTCGGGAAGTAGCTCCAATATCGCTAAACTTAGAGACTTTAGGGTGCGAATTTGAAATGCAAGCAAAAACACCACATCGCTTTAAACTTGTTGTTTGTAAAGGACATTTTAATAATAATTGTAATAATTAATAATAATTGTTAATAATAATCAATTTTCATTTACTTACAAAATTTATGAAAGATAATTCATAAAATCATTGGTAATAGTATTGCTGCTACTACTGCTGCTCGATGTCGTGGTAGTGGACGATACTGAACTCTCTGAACTGCTGCTATTCATGGTATTGTCATCAGCGAAATCGGCAGTATTAAATGAAGAAGACTGTAGCTGAGGTGTATAAAAACTAACGGCAGCTGGTGAAATCTGTTCGGCAGCATCGTTCAATATTGTGTCAGTAGTGGTGGTATTGCTCATGCTAGTACCATCGAAAACATTGGACATATTCACATTTAACATAGTATCGTTTTCATCCACATCATCTTCATCTTCATCGTCGTCGTCCTCTTCATCTTGTTCATGCTGATGCTTAGTCTCCTCCTCATGGTCTTCATCATGATCCGTGGTTGAATATAAATTAGTTGTTTCATTACTATATTCATTGTCTTCATTTGCCTCTGACTGATGTACATGCATTTTATCTTCTTCTCCTTCTCCTTCTTCTTGTTCGATTTCTTCTTCCTTCACTTCTTTCTTTATATCACCTATTTGATCTTTGAAAGTACCTGGCGTTTTTTGATTCGCTAAATATTCTTGCGAAATCTTTTCTTGAATAACGTTCCCGGAATTATTCTGAGTAGTGGTCTTACTGCTACTACATGCATTTTCATGACTGTGACCAGCAGCATTGATGTCGATGTCATCATCAGACGAAGTATGCATTTCACGGGCAGAAACCACAACGGTGGGCATATTTGAGGCGGCATTATCATCACAGGGCGTTGTATGTGGACTCTCTTGCGTTTGCTGCAATCTGGGACTGGAGTCTGCGGTTTGATTACAAGCTTCTTGCTGATCATCCCTGCTATCGGCAGCATGATTCACATTTTCGTTATTTAAACGCTCGTTATATGATGTCGGTATTGATTCAAGGCTTTCGTTACTGGCAGAATTTTTAGATAACTTTGTTTTCAACTCAATCAGCTTCAGGTTGTCGCTTTCACTACTCTCACTCGAACTTTCAAAGTTTTTAAATAAAGATTCTTCGGCTGCATTTTTATCATCATCTAGTTGCGATGCACACTGATCGAGTTTCGGTTGTTTGACGTTTTCGTTGTTCGACGCTTTACTCGACGTTTTCCTTATCCTTCGTTTACGTCCACTACTTGAGTGAGCATCTTTAGCATTCTGTTGTTGCTGTTTTCGCAAAGGCTCGTTAACCGCTTTCAAACGCCATGAATTTTCTCCCTCGCTATGGTTGTCCTCATCTTCCTCATTTGCTGCTCGGGACTGTTTTAGTTTCTCCTTTTGTCTTTTTATTCGCTCACTTATGGCCATGACAAGGGCAAAATTCTTTCCCATATGACCATTGTCATCATCTTCGTCATCCTCGTCATCATCTTCGTCTTCGCTAGAATCATAATTGTTGCTTGTTTTTCTTCGCTTTGTTGTGGAACTGCCACATTTACTCCTCCTTCTTTTCGATTTTTTAACACGCCTGCGTTTCTTTGAACTACGCTTTTGATTTGCCGATAAAACATATTCCTCGTCGCTCGACGAGCCACTTGTTACACCGTCGCCCAACGTCGAATTCGAAGCAAGCGAAGATAAGGAATCGGAACTACTGGAATGACTGCTTTCGCTTGGCAATCGTTTGCCACGACGTCTTGTCGGATTGACTTGATTTGCCTCGGCTCTTGTGTTACGCAGGGAATATTTAGTACGCCTCAATCTCGATTTGTCACTGCTTTGCTGTATCGATAGTCGTAATGCCGCCGATGTGCTAGCTCCCATATTGTATATATCTGAATTATTTTGTGTTTCATTTTTATTTGTATTCGAAGCTGATTGTTGATTTCGTTTTTTGGATTCAACTAAGGCTGTAATTTTAGAACGGCTGGATGATGACCGTTTCGCTTTTTCTGGAGAGACATCTTCGTTGTCTGGTTCTGCTTCACTTGTACTGAATGTGGTTTTATTTAAGGGTTTCGTTTCCTCTACAAATACCACATCGGAATCCGATGCCGAGGTTAAACTAACCATTTCTGGTGTTCGCAAATGTGGAGGTTTGCGTTCTAGCACAAATTCACATTCATCACTGCTACCAGAAGTTAGTTCGATGTTTTCTGTCACCGTTGGCTGACTTGAATTAGAACCTCCAGCTTCCGCACTGTTGTTGTTGTTGTTGCCATATGCAGCTACCGCCGCCGAGGCATTTTCCTCTGGCTCGTTTCTCAAATCGATGACCAAACTAACACCATCTTGAACAACTGAACGCATCGAGCCACTTGGACCGGCTGCTCCATCACGTGTCGCATTTGACGTTAGACGGTTATGAATGGTCAAATTTATAGCTGTAAAAGAGTTGAGATGAGTATTAAATACTCTGTAATAACTTGCAACATTATTTTCAACATCATCATTATCAAGAATCCCACCATTTGTCGAGGCAGCGACCGAGTCTTCGGCTACATCAATTTCATCTGTATCACTTGTATCATCCGACGAAGTGAATTCTATGACGACATCCTCAATAGATTGTGGTGAGTATTCAACAACTCTATCATAACCAATCATATCGTATGGCGATCTAGCAAAATTGTTCAATTCGTGTATGAAGTGTGTAGTTTTATTGCCCAGGTATGTCTGCAAACGACGACGAAACGCCGGCGATAAGATATTCATGAGAACTAAGGCTGAGTTGATGGATTCCAAAACGGTGTTGACATCATGTTGCGATTGTCGCAGCAAACATTGCAAATCACGACTTATCCACGGCATCAAACGATGAATTTGTGCTGGATTATCCCTGAAAATGTCGAAAAAATATATAACAGTAATTAATAATTAATTTTCTTTATTTATTTAGTTTATTAGAATAGGTTCATATAGCATGCTATAATCGTCTTATACATATTATTTCTACCTTTCTAAATTATCCACTTGAATGTATAATGTGAAACGAACGAACATTAAAACCTCTTCAATCATCTTATAAGAGACTCGGGAAATTAAAATTCTAAATATTACGACTATAACAAAAAAAAATAGAAGCAATTTTTCATGAGTAAAAAAACTTTATTATTTTGAATAACTAAAAAGGGAGATATTAAAAGAATAATGTAAATGAACCTTTCCTTATACTCATATACTAATTTAAAATATATACCCTACTTGCTTAAAAACATAATTCTTCGTCTTTTTATTCCAGCATTCTTAATAAGGTTCTCACAAATGATGATTCCACCTTAAATTTACCAAATTCCTATTTAATTTATTTGTTATATATATTTTTAAGAACATATCTAAGGATCTTGAGTACCGCAATATTTACAAACAATTCTAAAATGTCTCTTTATTGCCGAAATTTATGAAGAAACAATATGTAAGAGTTTATTTAATTTTTTCTGGTTTCTTGATTCAATACCTCTAATTGAAATAAGGTTGAGATAGGTCATACCGCATGGGTTTATATGTGTTATAGTCCTATTTTTATCGTATTAAGACACTAACGGACTGATATTGTTTAATGTTGATATTGAATGTGTTTTGCAATGTTTATGTAAGGCAAGAATGTTTACATAACTGATAATATTAAGGAAATAAATTTTGGAACGCTGCAACTTTTTATGATAAAAGATATTTCATGAAAAAGATATTACAATGATTCAAAAATTCCAAAAGGTATTTTTGTAGATTCACCTTAAGATTTTATCTAATTATATGTAAAAACTAATCAAAATATAATACTGGTATACGCTATTGCAAAAAAGTCATAACTGTAGTATATAGTAGCAACTTGTGTTCCGAGAGTTTTTGAATTCTCATACTTTTTTAGATTCCCATGTTGTGCAAAATGGTGTGCTCAATTTCGAGTGAAAGTGCGGCTCGAAAGCATAGCTTTGTTCAATAGGTTACGAACTGTGTTCAATAAAAAAAACCTATGTTTCATTGGAATTTGCTATTTGTTTAACAACACAATTAAGAAAAAATGCCTGCTGGCTTATTAATTGCCCTGGTTTTTACCAGAAAAAGACTAATGACACAGGAATGTGTTGAATGACGTCACATTAGGAATGCTTCGGACCCCACGGATATGCCCGAATCTGTGTATGTAGTTGTGATAATTACTCCAAGGCCCTAAGCTACCAATAATGTTTATGGTTTATATATTTATTAATTTCATCAGATAAATATAAGTGTTGATCGACAACAATGTGTAAAATATTGTGGAGAGTAATGAAAGTCCTGGAAGACAAAGTGTGTGCAGCGTGGATAAACATTAGTTAAAGTGAAGATGAAATGAGGTTATACAAATTGCATTTTTATGCACATTTGGGATTTCCAAATACGAAGGATATATATATATATATATATCTGAGCAACATGTATAGTTATACGTATTTAATTTTACGAGAAGACCCAATGTAAATACTGTCTTTATTTTTAATTAAATATTATAAAAACACGTTAAATATTACTTCTGCGTTCTTTTGTAATTTTTATGAGCTCAGAAAAACACGTACGATCTCATTTCTTTTTCAATTCACAAGGCTATATGTGCTCGAATTATATTCCCAATATTTTTTTGGGAATTCAGAATGGAGCACACCAAATGTGGGAAAATGTTTCATGTTTCGAGCAAACTCGAAATGCTGCACATGGGCGAATATCTATGTAACCACATTGACCGAATTGTACCACCATTTTTTTATTTTTATAAGAAAGATCCTAAAGAATAACTTCAAGTGATTCATTCACTTTTCTTGTTATTGGACATTAATTCTTCAGAAAAAATGAACTGTATCTCCCAAATGCAAGGATGTAGTGACGTCAAATTTTGTTTATATCCTTTTTGGGATAGTTGCATTAAAACAAAATAAAAAATAAAATTCTTACCTATAATACTGAGAACTGCTATCACGAAAACGTCCAGTTATATCACAAACTGGCAGGGCATATAATTTTCGATCGTAAACATAACGACGCCACAATTGGCTTAGAGTACTATCAGGATATTCTTGGCGATATAAGTCCAATAATTCGGCACGATAAACATATTGATTGCGCAAATTGCCGACTGGCATGGAGCGATTATTACTGCCACCACCAGTTCCTGACGGAGCAATGGGATACATAAAATTGGGATTTGTGCGATCATCCCAGGCGTCAATGCGGCCAAAGCTAGAAACAATGAAAAGCATTAAAATTAACTATTCGCCTTATATATGTAACTCTACTTACTTTTGACTAACAACACCAAAGATACGCATCTGTGTCAGATCCATTTCAAATTGTGATTGAGCAAGTTGTACGGTAGGCGGCTGGACATGGTATTCTTCAAATTGATGCTCAGATTTGACATTGTGAATAATCGATTTAAAGGTTTGCTTGCACAGTGGACATTCCGGTTTAACTTTGCTCCATTCACACAAGCACTTGAAACAAAATTGATGCATGCACGAATCGGTAAAACATTTATTTTTGCATCGACCCAAACAAATGGCACAATTTGGGGGAGGCGAAGCCGCCCTTTCGCCATTGCCATCGCCCGATGTTCCAGCTGTTGGATTTGTGGCCTCCTCTGACTCACTCTCACTGCTGCTCGATGATCTGGGTAATTTTAGTTCAAGACGTGGTAGAAATGCCTCCTCCAAAGTTTGCTGTTGTTGCTGAGTCACAACAACTTCAACACCACTGACATCGCCGCCATCAACTACACCTCCGCCTCCTGCACCTGGTGATGCTGTAGCCATGGCTTCGTGGACTAAATTATTGGCATTTGCAGATTGCAGTTGATATAAGGATTCGGCATGCGTTGCTGTTGTTGTGGAACTAATGTTACTACCTCCGCTGCTAATCGTAGGCGATGAAGTATTATTCAATAACTCCATTACACTGTCCAACAAATCCATAGAATCAAGTGTTCCAGACTTGTTATTCACCGACAAATTATAAAGGTCTTCACGTTCTACTACGACTTGTTTGTATTATTAAGCATTTGGTTATATTTAGTTGCTGTTTTTCCCTTCCAAAGGAATACAATTTGCACACGTTTGTTCAGAAAATTTGTAAAATGTCTACATATTCTGCAATTTTTCTGTCTTCTTCTCTCTGGTTTGGACCCCTTCTTCTTAATTTTCTTTCATTGTGTTATTCACATACGCACGCACTCACACAAATGCTGGCTGTTTCTCCACTTTTATGTTGCTCTGTTGTTGTTGTTATTGTTTTTCATTCATTCCATTTGACATTTCATGCGACGATGATTGAAACAACGATTTTGTGATTTTGTTCTGAGTTTCAGGTGTTTTCGCTGAAATCAATAGATATTCAATTATAGTGTCCCGGGATGCGATATGATAATGGTCGTAGAGCTGTTGAAGTTTAATGAATAAAAAGAGAATCTTTGAAAAAAATATAAAAAAATTCTAAATATTGTAAAGTTTTGTTTACGAAAAGTAGAATGACGGAAAGCAGATTAGTTATGGTGGTGGTGGTGTCAGGGATGGTAAAATTAATGTTTGGTACGAAATGTTCCGCAATGTAATTTCTTTGCAATTGAGATGGCAAAAATTTTACAAATGGTAAAAATAAATTTCGATTGTTTTTCATTGTTAATAAACAAATATATTCACTAAAAATATACAAATTTTGGGAATTAGATTTTTTTAAGATTTACATTTGATAATCATGGATATGGAATGATTACATTTGTTGAGACATATATATTTATTATTGAAGGGCTAAATATGTTTTACGGGCACCTCTCAGATAGGTATCCCTTCTGATACTAATTATAATAGCATATTTTATTTAGGGGAGAAATCCGTACTTCCCGAGATATGTTTCAAATTTCCAAAAATACTCACACTGTTTATTAAGTATCTTTAAGATTACCTCCGAAACGTTCTAAATTTTTACTACAGGTAGGTGTTTTAGTACTGATTACGACATTAAATTTTTGGGGAAAAATGTTTGAAATTTTTACTATAGATATTCCTTTTGCTTCTGATTTCAACCACATTTTTTGTAGAACTTTATACGTCGTATTCCATTTATTTAATAAGACCATTTGGTTAATCATAATTATATTTGAAATTGAATAAAATTTTCCATAGGAAATAGTCTAAATTTTCCACCCGTCCATAGAATAACAACCCATATACACCCAGGATAATGTACTAGTAAATGTACAATTGTACAAATATTTCCATCACTCGAAATGTAGTTCTTGTACTTCGTTGCATTACATGGAAATGGTGTAACACATAGTAATATTGGGAACAATTCCTAGTTCTATGCTAACTTAGTCATAATGAAACTATAAAAACATCTCTAAATCAAAGCTCTCTTCAAATCGGAATATTGTTTAAACAATTGTAAACATAAGAGTTAAAATATTTTGCGTCTGTAACACACACACGGTTTAGGTCGAATAATTTACCAAATTGTTATCGATCATAATGTTTAGAACGGTAAAACCAAAACAAAATCTGATATGTAGGAAAAATGTTCCCCGTATTTGACTCCAGTAATTTCCTTTCAACCCTGTTGACCCAATAATCTCCGGTTCCGGTATTATTCAGCTCAAACATATCTTCTAAGTTATACCACTCATTCACACAAACACACACACACACACACACTGTGGCAATTGTCAAACACTTTTGCACTCAAAATTCAATGACAAAAACAACTCACGTTCGCAGAGGACAAGAAAATTTCTTGATTGGCTTTGACTTATTGCACACAAATGGCAATTTTGTCTATCGATTTTTCATCACCTCCACAGGTTATCGCTTTCCCGATTTATACTGCATTCATTAATTTTCCAATCGTTTTATTAATTTCACAAGTCTTTTTTATTTATTTCACAATTATTTTCTAGAAATTTGTATTTATTTACAGCGAGTTAAAACTTTGTGTTTCAGTCAGACAAACGACTACGACGGCGACAATGATAATCGCTAGTGTTGTAAAGCGTACAAAAAATGTTTGTTGGTATTCATTATTACAGCCACCAGCAGTCCCAAACACGATTCCACTTTACATAAACAACAACAGCACGAATGTGTTGTCAAAATGTTTTCAAAATAATGTATTTTACTTTGTATGCGATCAAAATTGATTGTTTTTGCGAATATTTAATTTTTTTTTCACTATTTTCAATAGATTTCGATGGTTTTATTGCTAAAAATTCACTGCGATTCTTCAGCACGTTCCGTAAACCAGCTGTCTATAGACGATATTACCAGATTGTGGGAAAAATTATGTTTATAGGTATTTTGCAACGGAACGAATTCCCAATTGAATACAATAAAAAAGACGGTGACAATCGCTGAAACAAACTAAGGTTCGTTTAGACTTCAGATCGTAATAATGTGCATTCATTTAATGTGCCTCCATTTACCATAAAAAATTAAATTCACTCAATTTGCCTTCTATGACTTAGCATATACGTCATTAAACATATACGCTATGGAATTTCCATTTGAAGATGATTGTATTTAAGCGCTATTTCAATGGAGATTATTATACAGTAAGGAAAGTAGTAAAGTCGGACTGGGCCGACTATATGACACCCTTCACCGCTTTAGGTGAAGGGTGTCATTCATTCTACATGCCTCCTAACAGACGTCAGCTGTACGAAGCACCATTGACGTGAAATTGAACGAACTTAAATATGTGATCTTTATCTATATGTAAACCCACTAACATCAATCCCATAGCATAATTACAGAAGGTAGTCTCATTTGAGAATCTAATGCTGGCAACTCTTTTTAATTTGGAACTCATCTATCAATTTTAATTTATATTTCCCAAATTACATTAGGCGAGTTTATGCCAAAATTCGCACAAATTGAATGATTTTTATAGACTTTGGTGCACCATTTACATTAAATCGGACAAAAATGTATATAGGAGCTACATCTAAATCTGAACCGATTTTCATCAATTTCAATAGGGTTCGTCCTTGGACCTAATAAACGAGCTGTACCAAATTTCATCCAAATCGGATTATAAATGCGACCTGTATTTTGTTTACAATTTAACATCAACAGACGGACGGACATGCATAAATCGACTAAGAAAATTATTCTAAGCACATTCTCAAAAGGAAGAGGGTATAAAAATAATAAATAAAGTATGCTACAAAATACGTTACAATTCTAAATCATTGCTTACTAATATATGTCAGCTTGGCATATGCGTACTAGGGTACCAAGCCAGATGGAGGAAGAGGAGTAAAAAAAATATGTCAGCTGGTAAAAATTTGAATTTTTTAATTTATAGTGAATGCAGCACTGCTGTGGAGTATGTATGTATACGTAGTATCAAAGTACTGTTTACACTTAAAATAACATTTCTGACTAATATAATTATACAAGATAGTCTCATGCAGTCATACGTTTCCAATTTTTCATAAATTTGCCTTTAACAGCGTTGAGCTTTCAAAATGTAAATGGAAATAACTTCCTTCGAAATGTATGTATATAATGTGTTCAGTGGCAAAAACTGCTAAATCTATACTAATAAAAGAGTAAAGTGATTGACTGACTGATTTAACGATTCATCAACGCCCAGACGAAACGGTTGAAGCTAGAATCTTGAAATTTTGGGTGAGGGTCACTCTTGGCCCAAATGTGACAGATAAGGCTGGGTTTTTGGAAATTCGTACTAGAACGGTACGAAAAGTACTAAAAAGTACTAATTCTATACTAATAAAAGAGTAACGATTACTGATTTAACGATTCATCAACGCCCAGACGAAACGGCTTGAATGAGGGTCACTCTTTGCCCAAATGTGACAGATAAACTGTACGAAAAGTACTACAAAGTACTAATCTATACTAATAAAAGAGTAAAGTGATTGTCTGACTGACTGATTTAACAATTCATCAACGCCCAGACGAAACGGCTGAAGCTAGAATCTTGAAATTTTGGGTGAGGGTCACCATTGATCCAAAGGTGACAGATAAGGCTGGGTTTTTGGAAATTCGTACTAGAACGGTACGAAAAGTACTAAATTTATTTGTATTTGTCGAACCGGTGCAGCTAGAAATCTGAAATTTAGATTGAGGGTCACTGATGGAGTGTAGAATAGATGTAGCAAAGGAAATTTGAACTATAAGTATCGGAAAAGTACTGAAATGTACTAAATTTGGTACAATTTCGAAGCATGTGAATGGATTGAGCTAAAAACTTGAATTTTGGAATGAAAATTAAGGTTGAGAATTAGGGTCGATATGAAGAGAGTTTGGAAAGAGTGTACTCGTGTGAACGAAAAGTACTATATGGTACTATATTTGGTGCAAATTTGATTTGGAGGAACAACTCGAGCTGGAATCCTGGAATTTGAAATTAAAATTAACGTCGGAGTGTAGGATTGAGATATGAACGTAGTTTTGGAAAATATGTTACTATGTATACGAAAAGTAATAAATCGTACTATAATCGGTACAGTTTGGATTTGGGTGATCCTTTAGAGCGGGAACAATGCAATTTGGAGTCAGGATCACTGTAGGGGTGTGGGATTGGGGTCAGGATTCAGTTTACGAAAAAATACTTATGGGTACTAAATGGTACTAAATTTGGTACAAATTGAATTTTTGTTGAACCAATAGAATCATGAAATTTGGAGCCAGGATCACTGTTGAGGTGTAAGATTGAGATATGTAGGAAGTTTTAGAAATTTGTACTAATGTGTACTAAATTTGGTACAATTTGAATAGGGAGTGAACCGATAGAGTTGGAATCCTGAAACTTGGATTTGGGATCACTGTAGGGTTGGGATATGTAGGAAGTTTTGGAAATTGGTATGTAGGAAGTTGGTTTGGATTAAGTTGGAAGTTTTGGAAATTCGTACTACTGTGTACTAAATTTGGTACAATTTGTATTGTAGATGAACCGA